AAAAGTATGAATTAAAATGACCTTGTGTTCCAAAATCTTTTCACCTACTGCTTGGTGTTCTTAGTGCCTTTTTTTCCTTTCAAAACGAGATCTGATGCTGGTGCCTTTGGCATATTGAGATTTCAAAAGGCAGAGCGGTATTTAAAAAAAGAATCCATACTCTTTCTGTATGATGTGTTAGAACTACTTAGCATCAAGGGTGCCCTATATTTTTAGTGTAACCTTTTCTAGTTATTAAAGCAATCACAAGTATTTTCTTTCTGTCAGTGTTAGAACCTTATTTACCAAGGGCAAGTCTGGACACAGTGTGAATTAATAAAGTTGTTTTTTTTTTAAAGAGAGTTGGACAACTAATAAAAACATCCCATCAGTTCTGCTGCAGGAGGTAAAAAATAAACCCATATTGCCATCTTATAATTAAGCCATCAATATATATTACATATCCAAGAAAGAGGTGGGGTATTTCCACCATAATAAAAAACTATATATGCAATTTTTTTTTAAAAAAAAACCATGAACAGAAAAATAAAAGTATAGATAACATCCATATAGCAATTACCTTTCCAGAAAAGAAAAATTATTCAGAACTAAATAATCTATTCTTGAAACATTTCAACAGCCAGAATATAATGGAGGATCTGACCTATTACTAGGGGTGTGAAGATAATGGGATTAAATTTGCGACATCTAATTAGAAAGGTGTTCATATGTGTATACGAATAATAATAAGAGGTACCTTAAGGCAGAGGTAGGCATACATGATTATGGCAGACTGAGGTTGGCATAAATTAGACGAACTAATCCACAGGCTACCAGTTTATATGGTTTTGATTGTGTTTTGAGGTATTTTAGCACATTTGATGGTCTTTTGAATGTCCCTCCCTTTCCTCTTACCTAAGTTCTCAACAACTGCCCTGGCCTCTCATTTAAATATTGAGTAGGAGGTTTGGTTTGCTCAATTCATCCTTAGATTTTTAATCTCTGCTGATTTCAGAAGTCAGGAACCAGGATAGAGTTCAAAAGTTCTATAAGTTTATTTCATGCTGCCTACACACAAGAATCTGAACTACTAATGGTCAAGGCAAATTGGCGCTAAAGGTCAACGGACTTCAAGGAGGGCTGGACTTAGATCTTTTATGGGAGTGTAGAGATTCCAAAATGATGATGTGTTTGAACCCACCCTCGGGGCTTAGCCTTGTTATCTCCTGCATCTGATTTCCTTGGTCCAGGGGTAGGCAACCTTGGCTCTTTTATGACTCGTGGACTTCAGCTCCCAGAATTCCTGAGCCAGCCACGCTGAGGGGAAAGGGAGAGTTTCTAAGCTGAGCCATGGTGGCTCAGGAATTCTGGGAGTTGAAGTCCACGAGTCATAAAAGAGCCAAGGTTGCCTACCCCTGCCTTGGTCTTCAAAATGCCTGCACTGCACTTTCAGTTTATATCTTTAATCCATAAACTTCCTGAGGCTGGAGAAAGAAGGAATCCTTCAAAAATCTCTAAATTATAAACTCTAAGATGTATCCTCCAAAATGTTATCCTGCATCTGCACTGAGGTAGGTTCACCCTTAATTCAAAGTTAGAAATATTAAAAGGCAGACTATACTCTAATTAATCAAAGAAACATGTATTTTCAGTAAAATAGTACAGAATAAATCATTATCATTTATTGCATGGGTGTCCAACCTTTTGGCTTGCTTGGGCCACACTGAGTGAAGAGAAAATTATCTTGGGCCATATATAAAAATATATAATATTGTTTTATAATATAAAATTAAATAATAATGTTCAAAGTTTATGATCTTGTGACGCCACATTACTAGCTGTCCAGGGCTGCGAACTGGATCCTGATTTATAGCCATGTATGCCTAAATTGCATACAAAACCTTTAATTTAATAGCCCTTGCTTGCTTGCTCATAGTGCTTAGAATTCTTATTCTGAGGTCATGTTCTTCGTAGTGCTTTCCTTTATGTTTGGGGGTGCCTGAAATGTGAACCCTTGATCCTACATTATAGGTACAGATAGTCCTCAACTTACAACAGTTCGTGACTGTTTGAAGTTACAATGGCACTGAAAAAAGTGACTTATGACCATTTTTTTCACACTTATGACCACTGCATCTTCCCCATGATCATGTGATCAAAATTCAGATGCTTGGCAAATTGACTCATATTTATGAGTTAAAGTGTCTCGGGGTCATGTGATCACCCTTTGCAACTTTCTGACAAGCAAAGCCAATGGGGGAAGCCAGATTCACTTAAAATCATATTAGTAACTTAACAACTGCAGTGGTTCACTTAACAACTGTGGCAAGAAAGATCATAAAATGGGGCAAAGCTCACTTAACAACTGTCTTGCTTAGCAACAGAAATTTTGGGCTCAGTTGTGGTTGTAAGTTGAAGACTACCTGTATGCTCATTCCATTCTGCAGTGAGTAGCTGGAAGTAACAAGGGAAACTCAATTGCAGAAGATAAGGAAGTCAGTCACCAACAGAACTACTATTGAAGAATATGCAAAGCAATCTTTAACTTCCACTCTACTTTCTGAAATTAGCACATGCCATAGGTAATCTTAATAAGGGAAAATATTAATAACCCTATAATTCATAAATCAAAGAGTTCCTGATGTGAAACTCTCTTCTGCCATGAACAAATGATGTGACCTTAGGCAAGCTTTCCTTTATCCCCCTTCTCCAAAACAGGAGATAATGATCGTCATTCACTTTATTGGATCGTGAGAAAGACAACTAGACAAGGCATCTGAAGTACTCTGAACATGTAAGAATGCCAAATGCATTAAAAATATTATAATTACTGTTTCCCAGAAAATAAGAACTATCCCTCAAATCTTGTCAAAATACTTGGTAATCAAAAGTTCGGTATTTTAATACTTGTACACAGAGCTCCTCCAGTTGTGAAAGACAAAAAGTCTAATTACTACATCTATATATGTTAGAGGCTAAATAAATTCCTCCTTACAGTCAATATCATGTACTCAGAAACAGCTGTTATTTAATATAATATTTTCTTCTATCACTCACTTAAGCATTAGATTTTAAAATTGAGTAACTGTGGCCTTTTCTCACTTAATGATTTCAGAAGCTTTATTAGATGGGGGGGGGGCCTCCTGGAAAGTATGCAATCATGCAATTAGTCCCTTGTAATGGAAATATTAATAGTTCTTTTTTAGGCTTGTAATTTCTTAATCACATCAAGTAATTAATGACTATGCATGACATTGGAAATAGCAATAGTACACTAAATGGGAATCGCACAAGGAAACAAACCATATAATTATATACTAAGGAGAGAGATCAGTAGAAAGAATTCACAGTCCACTCTGTGAAACAGTCTTAGCTGTCATGCTATACCACATTATTGAAAAGTGACCCATTCAGAATAAAATATATATTCTTACTAGTCATATTCAAACTGACAGCCAAAAACAACATGCACAATCAGCAGACTTAAAAAGGTGTATCCTGCCATACAAACCACAAAACAAAACAAAAATTGGAAACGTTTATACTTTGCTGCAGATACCCTTTGCAGTAAATAAGATATTGAAAACAGAAATAATGTTGAAACAAAAATGTACAAAAATATTTTAATAATGTAACATATGAACATGAAGCAATACCATATAGGTTTTAACATGTTTTGGACAATGTAATATAATAAGGACTTGATTTTAGCATGTATTAAAAAAAGTGCATTATGAAATAAGGGACAAAAGCAATGTGAGCAAACAAAATTATGTTTTTCATATGTAAATTAATAAGGTACACGTGAATATATCAAAAACAGAATCTTTTTTTTATGATAAAATGATTCAAATGTGTAGTAACTTAAAATACTGTAATGAATAAGGGGTGTATTTTTATTCCTTAATTACACAATCTAATTTTATAGAACAATCACTGATCTCCCAGATTAATTCAAAAGATCCAAATCTTCAAACCTGCTGAAAGAAATCCATTCGACGCTTGAAACAACTGTCACCTTCAGTAATTACCTAAAGAATAAAATATTCTCATCAATTATCCATTTATTTTGTACAACAGACAATCCTAACATCTTTTAGATTCTTTCTCACTTCCTGGAAACAATGCCCCATTACACAGATATTAAGTACTAAAATGAAAGACTTCTTGGATTAATTCAGAATAATTTTCAATTATGGTTTCAATTGGGAAATTATGGTTATCGGGAAGAGAACAACTGAAGACCAGAAAGCAGATTATGGAGTTAAGATCTGAAGGTTCATCATAGCAGGTGGCAGCACTTACGTGACCTCAACTCATTCTGATCAAAACTCTTAGTACTTAGATGAGACTAATAGGAAATCCCAGGGCTATAAACTACAATGGTTTGTGCATAAAATATTCAAGTTTAAACTGGACCAGAATTTTATGCACAGATCTTGCAACATAATTGAAGTGTGGCAAGTCTATGGAAAGGCCTACTCAGTAGATGTGATCTAGCTTTAAATTAGAGTCATGCCTTTTATCAGTTTAATTAAGTTGTATTTACACATCTTATAACACTACAGAAATATTGCAGCAGTCAAGACTCTAATTTGCAAAAAAGAAAAGAAAAAGAAAGCAGTGACATCACTTTAAAGTGACATAACCACTCTTGTGAGTCATTCTTTTCAAAGAGTACAAAGCACCTTTGGGCTGTTATTGCAACATTTGTGCATATTTTTGCATAACAGGAGAACAATATAAAAAAAGCCAAGGAGGGTAAAGATCTTAAAGATATAATCTTGAAGATTGTAAACTGTATCATTGTACTTTATCTCAAAAGATGGGAATACTTCATAGCCCTGTAACCATAAATTGAGCCAGTGTCTCGGGTGTGCTAAAGCAAGGCCCAGATCAGACTTGTACCAGCCAGCTGTTCGAGACCTATTAAACTGCAAAATTATAGATGTGCAACTTTTCGAAGAGGCTGTGCTTACTAAAAGCAAGCTAACAATCTGAGTAGGAGATACTACCATAGCTTACCTTCTGGTGCGATATGTACTCAGTTCCTCTTGTAGAATCGATGCTCTTTTTCGTAAAAAGTTTACCTAGAAAATACAGCTGTTGTGACTGAAGAGCTTCTAGTATATAACAGACTTATGAATATATCTGTTTGCGGTTCCTCAGATATATTGCTTAAACCCTGTTTATGACCTGATAATCTAGGGATTGATGTCCCAATGTCAAACAGCCTAAATAGGGATCAAGTGTATTTCATCTTCTGAGAATACCGTCCATGTTCTATGTCAGCGGCTCCCAACCTTTTCTATACACCACACCCCTAGAACACTTCTGATATATTCTCGCACCCCTTACAAAAATTCAAAATAATAGCAACGAATTATGCATATACACTATAATTTTGAAAACGCAAGTTTTCGTACCCCTTGGAATATCGTCTCGCACCCCCGGTTGGGAACCCCTGTTCTATGTTCATGCAGTATTACACATTTGGGGGGGGGGAAATGCAACCCCTAAATTTTGTTTACAACAAATGCAATGATTTCAAAACTGAACATTGGCATAAAGAATACCAAGTTCTGCAATTTAAGCATCAACATTAATGGATTACACATGTCTTTGTGAGACACAGACATAAAATTCCACTTTTGAAGGGTGGTCAAAAACTCTTTGTTGGGAAAGTAAAGTTATAAGCCTGCTATAAAAGTTCATTAGCAAAGTGCTAGGATAGAAGACAAAGAACACAGTGAAAAGCCTCAAAATTGAGGAGATGGAGGCAGCCAGCATATTTTAAATATAAGCAAAGCTTTGTTTGAGAAGTGAATATTTCCTATTTGTTCCTTGTGACTGCTGCTCTGTTGGTGTTTTTAACCTAACCAAGCCCTCTCATTCCTCTGGAACAATTCACAGCCCTGACAGGTGCAAAGATTCCACTGTTCTTTCTGGCTGATGTTTTTAAAACAGGAATTTCAACAATTTTCAAAGAAGACACCTGTGCTTCAGAAGCTGTTATAGAACAGCCTGTAGCTGGATATTGTAGTTCACTGCACAGGCAGCTGCGAGCTATGCTTTGTATATGAGCACTCACTTTTAAAAGTCTGGAGTTACTTTTACTCCTTTGAAATGTTATGTATGCTAGCAGAAGCTTTGAAGACTGAAATCAAATTTCAGCCCCAAATTCACTTCACTGGAAGCTGGGGATTTTTCAGTTGTTAACACTGGTAAGTTTGCATGCCAGTCAAAAGTCACATGTATTATTAACTAATTTACTAGATGATCCATTCTTCCCTTTTTATTATTTGTAATGGCAACACTGGATGAACCTGAGCACCAGAAGGAATTCCTTCTCAAAATCAGTGGTAATATCAACAACACCCATAAAGCACCTGCCCTTATCAAGAGGGAACATGGTACTCATTCGCCATGGCAATTCCTTTAGAAGTAGCATTACAAGGTGATAAATCCAAATGCACCATTTTCAGATGAAAAATGAAATAATAACAACCTCTTTTGAGGCTATATGAATTGGAAAAATGTAAGACTGAAGGTTTTCTAGTCTTTGATTTTAGCTGGGTTCCTATGGATGTCTTAGTATTACAGGAAGTTACAGATGACCAGTTCATATAGTCTTTTGTCACACTATTATTTTACTAAATATATCTATTGCAAAAAAAACCCCTTTATTGATGATTACCTTATAAAGTGTGAATTGATTTAACAAACACCCATTCATCCACTTGATCTTGTTCTAAAAACCTTTGGTATTAAAGGAATGTCAGGATAGCAAAATTATTTCAAGTAACAAGTGGCTCCTAAACGTTTTTTGCTTGAAGAGGAATTAGTACATCACGGTATTGGAATGTTTGCTTGTTCAACAACAGACTGAAAAATGTAACTTCACAAACCCCAATTAGGGACAGCAATCTTTCTCAAGTCTGTATCCCACCATTGCTCCATGTATTGTAAGCAGAGACAAACTATTCACCCTGATGCACCAATGTCTTTTTACAGAAACCATGCATGCTTGAAAAACAAAAGGTGTTTATGCAAAAACTATCAAATTAAAAAAAAAATGTTCATGTTTAAATATCAAATGACTGGAACCCTCATCATTTAAGAGATCAAAAAGGCTAAAAGTCTCTCTTTATATTGGCGCAGAGAAAAAAAACAGAACTAACTCTTGTGAGTGAAGGTTGGAGCTAGTTGAGGGGAAAAAACAAGTAGAGATGATGAACTATTAATTGTCAAACCCCATTGCTTATACCAGCATGCTATGGATATTTTTGTCAGTTCTTTGAACTAGCAAATCCTAGATTACATGCTACTGTACTATGCTGACAAATAGAACATAAAATCTTTACCTGAGATTTTAGTGAGAGAATTGTGTCTTCAAGTTCTTGTCGCAAAGATGCTGGCATTAGACCTTTCAGTTTGGTTTCATATTCTTGCCGTATAGAAGTCACCTGAAACCATAGAAAGCAAGCATTTCCATAGTGAAGATTAGGTGAGCCAGTTAAAGTTATTTAGGAGCAGTCACTACCTACAAGTTTGAGGTACTATCTATATCAGGGATGTCAAACTGCTGGCCCACGGGCCGGATGCGTCATGTGGAAGCCGCGCCCACCCCATTGCTGGCAATGGCAAAACCGTCCCGATACGTTGCGCGACGTCACGCGATGTCGCGAGTTTGACATGTCTGATCTATATGAAGAGAAATGTTGACATGCAAGAGCAGGTGTGCTGTATTGAACCAAACTGAGTAATTCCTTGGCATTCTCTTATAAGACTATCCATTCCTCAACTTTTATTATGTAAACAATGTGTGATTATATCTCGTTTTTAAACTATTAAATAATGGCCATAGGATTCCATCACGTATGCTGCCTGTAGATATTTATCAGTTTCTACTGAATCCTCCCTCCATTGCAACATCCAAACAGAACAGGTCATTGTAGGAATAGTTTCACTATCTTCGGCCACTTCCTGCTCCTAACCACTCTTGCCTGTTAATTCAGAACTGGATCCGTTCTTTTTTGCTACTTCCTCCCACGTGCAATGCAAAGGATGTTACAGGGAGGATAAAGGTAAAGCAAGTTTCCTTGAATATGCTGCACATTTAAAATATTTTGCTTCTAGATTTACATCTTGGATATGGTGAGATTCATTTCCAATGCTGCAGTATTACCTTGCAGCTGAATAATTAAGAAAAATAGCTAATGGGCCAACCGTAACCGACACAATATTTTTTTTCAAAATTCCCCAAATTTCTTTCACACCTCTGGCTGCTTCTCTTCAAGCTTTATTTTCCCAACACATGAACAGCAGCACAATTGGTTCTGGCCTTGTTCTCCCATTCACTGACTCAATTATTTTTTGAAGTATACCAAACCAACTATTTTTTTGAGGAATCTTTTTTCCTTTTATATCAAATGGCATGCATGGACTTCAACATTTTTTAAGATTGTATTTATGAATGAAACTAAATTTCATTTGCAAAAAAAGTCAGAAGCTTTCTTGCACAGAGGTAAGAGTGAGAAGCATGGAGAATACTAAACAAATAATCAATATTTTTATTTGAAAAAGCAACAGACAGCTACATTCTTCCTTATCCTCCCCCAGCCCTCCATGGTTGGCTTCTTTTGACCAATGATGCATTGAGGGTAAGCAAAACCTAAACTTCAAGAATACCTGTTACTATAGAGGACAAAAGAAAGGTATGGTTTATATGATATCAGTCTGTTTAGTAAAAATAAGAGCAAGCACTATATAAGTTAAACAATTTTACTATACTAATCTACCAAATTTTAATATAAACTATAACTATTTCCCAGATAATTATATTTTGACAGCACTGTATTCTTTAGAACCAAACCAAACCCTACTTATTTCTTACGTCTATGTAAGCTGACAAAAACATCTTTCCCCAAATTTGATTTCCAAAAGTTGTATAGAACAGTTGGTCCTGCAGAACATACCTTCTCTATTTTATAATTCAACTTCCATATGTTAAAGGGTGATATTTATTTTCTTATCTTTCCTGTACTTTCAGAGTTCTAAGTTCCTGAACAAATAATATAATTGTGATTGGAGCCATAGAAAAATACCTAAAGGACTTCCTTAATATCTTGTAATATTGAATTTATCCAACTTGAACACCATAATTTTACAAAAAAAAACCACCCGCACTTGTTGGAACCTTTTATATTCTTAGATGCTAGCTTAAAAATTAATAACTAAGAACTAATAATACTTATGTCTTCGGTTACTTGCATTAAGTTTCCACAAGCCTTAAACTGTGAATCTAACTCCATAATTACAATACCTTTATTATTATTAAACAGCAATATTTGTCTACCCCAAGTCCTTGGGAAGATCTTGATAGGTGGATAAAAATGCATCTGGTTGAGTGTGTGACTACCATAATAATAAAAACTTATTTGGGTTGATATAAGGAAAAATCACTAATATATTTTTGTTAATAATGAAGTCATATTTTAGGATCGGTATAGCTAAAGTTTGATCATTCTTACAATCATCTTTGGAATAGTTTTTTCAATACTTTCCCCTCACCAAATTTAATAACGGCCAAACTTTTATCCTTCTTTTATTACTGTTTCAGATTAATGTAGCTCTATTCTCCTAGCTACAACATCTTTCAAATGTATACAATCAAAAATAGGCAGTCTTAATTATGTGTTACAAAATTATAAACTTGAACTACCACATGCTTTCATATCAGTCCCCTAATTAATAGCCATCTGTGAAATTCCTGTATTTGAAAGAATGTGGTCTGAATGCACATCTCACTGCTACTTAGATTAAGAACCAAAGAAGAATATTTCTGGTTTTAGATTTAGGAAATTAAGCATCCTGTCTCTTACAGTAGCCATCCTGAATCCATAGGAAGCACAAAAATAGGGCATAGGGATAAAAGCATAATGCATCAAATTCCACAGATAATTTGATGTACAAAAGGGAAGATACTCCTTTAATTTACATTTTAAAGCCAAACAGTCTACTTTTGTGAAGGTGCAGAAAGGATGATTGTCCTACTGCATCCTTTGTGCTGGAAAATGGGAATTTACCCTGAAGCAAGGTAGATCCCTTCTTCAATACAGTGATTTCCTGATACTTTGAACCAACCACCATTAATCTCAACTGGCAGGGCCACTGACAAGGAATCAGAGAACACATGCCTGTAGGTCTGTATTTTCCAAATACAATTCCCTCCTTTCAGACCAAGATGAAATGAAAACAAATTTGCCTTTTGATTAATGATTCCTATTCACGACATTCAGAGAACTGTTCCTATGCATTGTCTTTATTTGAATTATTCTTTGGTTGGGTGAAGGAAGCCTGTACATTTTGCATTTAGCCTTCTATTTTCTTTGGCTAGGGTGGTCCAGGAGCCTTTAGTTGTCTTTATTTAATTCAGCCTTGTCTTCATGGAAATATCCATGTAACTTTCTTGATAGCAGTGCAGAGATTGCTTGCTGTTGTCTTTCCAGGGATTCCCCCACCTTCATGGTCTAGGTGACATTCCTACATTCCTGGAAATCTCTCATCTAAGGACTAACCAAGACTAGCCCTATTCAGTTTCCTAGTCCAGACAAAGCCATCCAGGTGCTGCCATCTACTGAGTCAAGGCAATATGAAGCTCCCTCTGAAATGGGGCTGAGAAAATACTCCTTAATCACCGTACTATGCTAGCATGCTGTATTCTGAAGAACTATCCCTATTTTTAGAAAAATCAAAGGAAACATATAATACTAAAATCTGCCATAAGTATTTCCCCTTTTCCGTAAGTTATTTATTTATTTAGCTGATATATTACACAGGACGCCACCTAATCCAGCCATAGAAAAGAAAAGCCACTGATAACAAATGCAATCTACATATGAAAACAACAACATTCAATCTCTATTTACTGACAAGGAAAACCACCTTTTATCAGCTTGAGAAAACATACAGTACTGATTTGAAGAGCTGGGAATCCATAAAACTGAAGGTGAAATAAAATAAGAGTATTATTGCATTATGAACCGAAGCTGTATAATTAAGTATACATGAATGTTGCAAACTTAAAAAGGGAGAAAGCTATTTGATCTGATACTTACTCTTTCTACTCTAACATATAGCAATATAGATGTGTTCAGGAAAAATTATTTTGATTGTAGACATAAATTGCAACAGTAATTTCACACAAACTACAATTAGCCTTTTTCACAGAATGAGGCACTGTATTAATAGCTTGGAGCACCTACTTCGCCAAGGCTTAACACAGTTATTCATATAGGCCATTCATTATTTTAAATGACATTGACTATAAGCCCACAGCATAAAATCTCACAATATAAAGAATGGAATATATTGCTATTGTTGTGCATTGCTAAAGTTACCTCTAGTGAGATGCGTAGCTATTTACATTTGATTAACAAAATGGAGACCACATTGAATAACCTGGAGAAAAAAAACCCAAACAGGAACAAAATGTAAAATACTGATTTTACATTTAAAAAAAAATACTGATCTTATATTACTGAGCTTATATTAAATCTTTTTTTTTAAAAAAAATTAGATGATCCTCATGCTGAAGTGTTTTTTGATGTGTTTAAGAGCAGCCTTGAAATAGCCACACTATATTTGCCTTCCTTCCACCTCTGCTGATATTAAATAAATAGGATGATTTGAGTCACAGTGTTCAACTAAATGAGTTCAGTTGCAGCAGCTGCACAGTTCTTTTGCCAGCTAGATGAAGACATACTATATTCTGGATTGAACAGTAATTTGGCAGTTCACTTCAAAGAGAAAATGAAACTTTGGAAGTTTGTTTAGCAGCTTGTTTGAGGTAGACAAGGCAAAACAAACACTTTTTAAGCAAAAGTTTCTTTTTGCTTTTATTCCTTTCATTAACAGGAGATACATCTTGTTCACTGGAACTATTATCAAATTTGTGAATGTCATTTAGAAAACTTCCTAGCATAGGTTCCTTTTACAATTCATAAAACTTCCAAACAAAGTCATATATTATACAACAATAAAGGAATCTCTATCCAAATGGTTATACTACACACTATGTCCAAATCAAATTTTTGTAGAAAAATTGTGGTACAAGGCCTATATACTGCTGTATAAAGAGAGAGGTTTGCATTAATTGTTCCTCATAAGAAAATTTCCAATCAAAGCTAAAAAAAATTTGGAAGCAAGATCTAATTTACTATTCCCTCCATGGAATGTCTTTCTACAGTGAAAAACATTTTGAAATTATGGTACCAAATTATGGTACATTACACCAGTAACTGTCCCCTTGCTTGGAAAAGGATAGAATCATGCTTTTCAGAAGGTTTGAAGGATTGTGGGAAGATAATAGGGAATATTATATATTAACATGTAAATACCATATTGTGAGATTAGTTATCAGCCAGGTGGCAATGTAAGTATAAAATTTCAAATATTTCAGGCT